ATACTTTTAAATAATAAAAATAATCATAAGTTATAAAATTAAAACTTATTTATATCATATTTTATCTTGTTTACAACCATTAATAAAATAATCTTACAAGCTATTATTTATTTTTGTATCTATAGATTATATTCTCAAAGTTATATTTAGAGAAAAAAATAGATGTTTATATGTTGAAGAGTTAAATCTGTTATAATATAACTAGAGTAATTATCAAGAAATAAAAGAACATGCTGATCATTATACTTTTATAAGATTTAGAGATTGAATTCATAAAGTCACTCTTGAAAAAGAACTATAAGCATCCAAGACTTGACATTATTTTGATATATCATGAACAAATTCTTAAGATTTACATTTTTGAAATATTACAAATATGTATATTTGCCAATTATAAGAGAATTCAATTTGTAAGATCCATCAATATTTATATATAATACTATAGAGAGACACTCCTTATTTTTTTATATTCAATAAGATGTTATGTTATTAAGATTCAATCCAGTTCCAATCTGCAATATAATTAAAAATTAATAAAAAAAATAATTAAAAAATAATTAAAAAATAATTAAATAATCTATTAGTAAAAAAATCTGATTTTGTCTATATTATAAATTCAGTCAAAAGAATATTCAGTATATATATTCCATAATAATAATAGAGATTCAATAATAATATTTTGATTAACAGATAATGTTTCTTCATGAAGCTTTCTTTAACAAATTCTATTTTGATCCTTAAATTTTTATAGTTATCCAAAAGAAAATTATAACTTATCTTCAGGAATCTCAAGTTCATTCACTAATAATTTGACTTTTTCAATTATAATGGCATTGCTTAGAATAATTTGATGCTGGTAAATTAATATGAATTTCTTAATTACTAGCTCAAGTTCTGAAATAATAATGGATTTATAATACTTGGCTTCCAGACTTATAACTTTATTAGAAAGTCATTTTTCTTTGGTTTGAAAGATTCAAGTAATTGTAGATTCATTAACTTTAACCCTCCATCTGTCTTTAATTCATTTTATATATTCAGGTTGGATTCTTTTATTGTCACGTGCATAGATACATAGCTCATATTTTTAAGCATTTATTAATGTAATTTTTTTTGATAAAAGAAAACTTGTTACCTATTTTCTAAAATAATTAATTCTTTATTCTAAACTAAAGATGGCCACAAATAACTCCTTATCTACAAAAAATTCCTCCTCATGTACTAGGATTTAGATTATGACACCAGAAAGTTAAGCATTATCAGAACGTGAAAGGAAAAATCTAGCCAAGAAAATTTGATTCTTTGATTCATTGATTTTTCCACGTAACACATGATCTTGAAATTTTATTGGCCAACAACACTTAAAATCACGTGATAGTGCATTTACAGAGATATTTTAAATTTATTGCACATGCAGAATATAGAGAGTCTATAGTACAAGCTTGGGACCAGATTTAAGGGTTTATTTATAGAGAGTGTGCACTTATAGAACGTGCATTTAGAGAGATTTGACTGTATATGCAAAGCTATCTGCTATTAGTATTATTAATATTGACTAGCCTCCTTTGCATACTCTTCAGCCTCGCGAGGTTCATTACCGCGCTTTCAACACCAATTTCTCCAGCTCGGTTTTATATCCGAGACCACCTTTTTGAAGTGGCTCATTTTGAGCGACACCCTGGGCTTTTGCTAAAGCTTTATCAAGTTCATTCATTTTAGTTAGCCAATCAAAATTTATAGTAAATGGATCATAAAGATGAGCTTGGAATATTCTGTACCAGTAGGGCCCGGGATTCTTTCATTTAAAGGTTGGAATGAGTCGCGATTAAGTGGATTTTTGGAAAGTCCTGGTGCGTCTCCCATTAATTGATGTGGTTAATAAATTTTTGGCAGTTTTATCAATAAACTCGATTTTATAGTAAAAAGATGCCGTTATTGCAAAAGATTGATTTTTATATCGTTTAATTAAAGAAATATTTTTCGCTATTTACCTATGACGTAAGAAACACTATAAATTTGTAATGTCGTGGAATATTTATAAAGGTTACTGATTTTAAAAATCGCAATCGAGAAATTATTTCACCTATGACGTAAGAAACACATTAATGTATGTCATAAAATTTTAATATAGTGAACAATCGCTTATAAATTATGCTCTAACTAATCTAAGGATATTGAAGTAACTAAAAATTCAAACACAACTAATACCAAATACTCTTAACCAACTTTTTTTTTCGTCATTTTCATCATCGTTTTCTACGCTATTATAGTCTTCTTCGTCTCCTCTAACGTTTCGGATTTTCCAACCTCTCTTAGTCCTTTCAGCCCAATACTTTCTCCGACTACTCCAAACTTGTTTTGCGACAGCTTCCGAATCAACAACTACATTATCATTGTCATTAAGATCAAACTCCAACGCAACCATCAAATACTTATGATCTGATGCATTATAATCATGATTTCCCATCCACCTTTTCACCACGTCAAATCCTCGAACAAGCGTCCAATCAAGTTTTGCACGATAAAGTCCAAAATACTTTGGGAGGTGTAACGTGATATCGCGTTCTGGATTCCATGGATCATAAAATCCGGGATTTCGAGCAGCACGCAAAACACTCGTCGTGAATCCTGAAAGTGTTTTCTTCACAACTGCATTCTCGACTAATTGTTCATTATCATCACTACTACTATTACTGGCAACATTGTTTTTATTTCTTTTGAATAACGAACTAAAATATCCTAATCCACGAGACTCTAATAACAAATTAGATTCTCCATCTGAAACATGCCAAGACAACAAATATTTGTCCCACCACACAGACTCTGACGTCCCTAACGATAGTATACGATATTGATCCGTAGAACAGAGATGTGACAGACGCGCTATTGAACGTGACATTGTATTTAAATCACCGAATATTAGCTGATACGGATGTGTGTTCATGTGTGCGGTAGCATCTGATAATATTTCGGAAAATTGTGCGATACGTCCTGTAATACCACAGAAAACCTAGGGAAAGCAATAGAGAATTAATAACCAATAAATTGCTGGTATTATTATTATTCATAATAAATTTACCTCTAAATGAACACAATAGCACAAAATTGGCGGGCCAAATGGTGTTTTAACTTCCGCTGCTAACGAGAATCGTCTTTTAAATGAATAAACAATTGATTAATTGATTTACCAGTGATTAATTTAATTAAATTAATTTAACACAAAAATCTAACCTTCCTCTTCTCGGCTCACCCAATTTATGACCATCACGTTCCCAATTAAACGGATGATACTTATGATCAATCAAACGAAACGACACAATATCATATTTAGTAAATATTGCATTCCCGTGTACACCACCGCCCTGGTCACGTTTTTTCCTTTGCTCACTTTCAATCTCGAAAAACTCGCATACATAGACACCCATCCACTTCAACTCTCTAGCAATTTCACGAAAATGGTCGCGTCTTTCGGAACGTGCACACCCAATATCTATTTCTTGGATAAGTGCAATATCAGGATCAAGTTCTTTTAAAGTTTTTATTATTTTCGAGGCACGATAGTTTCTTTCTACGTTCCATTGAAGACATTTTATTGGCCTGTTGGTAGGATTGGAGGATATATTATTATACTCGTCTTCTTCGTTAGAACGTATTTTTGGACGAAAGTCGTGAGTTAATATTTCTCCAGGTTCGGGAAGGTTGTTAATAACGGTTTCCATACTTGGTTAATTCATATGGTTTTAGTCTAGTTTTTAAATACATGTTACACACGACAATAGTCCAATAAAATTCTATATTACATTTGATTTATCATTCAAACTCTAGCACCATATCTCCATCTTTTTTTAGCAGTTCAATCATTCCGGAAGGCACTAATGGTTTAACATGTCTCTTCAGCTGATTGTCGGTGGTTTGTAATGTCGAAACATTCATATCAGGAATTGTAATGTAACGAAATGGCATTATCTATAATTATATTTATATATGTTTGATTCAATTCAATTTCATCACGACACATTTATCAACGTTTTCTCCTCCTCTCGAAATAACAATATCAAGCCAACTTACCACAGACTCTGTCCTATCAAACTTTATCTCGGGAAAATCAATAAACGGAATTTGATCAAGTGCAATAGAATCTTCGATAATTTTTTTAGTGACTATTAACGCAGTGTCTGTTGTCATTTGTAAAGGCCCCAAATGTCGAGTCGGGAATCCGAATTGTCGTAGCTCACTTGTTCGATCTAATTATCATCATCATAACAGCCCACCACAACAATAACAGGAATCATAATTACAATAATGACCTAGTATTCTTGAGAATTAAAAAATTTACCTTTTGGAGGATCATCACCCAAAATTCCACCAAACAAAAAATACTCAAACTTTTCAGCATCATCAGTCATCAAAACATCATTAGATGCCGGATCCAACAAACATATTCGTTCTGTCTCAATCCCCATGCTATTTACATCATTAGTTAGCAAATGACATTCTTTTAGAGTCGGTTCTTGTGAAAGCTGGGATTTCGCCTCAGGTGATAATTTTGTTATATAAAAGTACTCTGGTGATATAAATTTGGCAATATTGAGGTATTCGAGAAGACACCATTCGTGTATATTATCTTCCATGTGTTCTTGATTTTATATTTTAAATTTTCACTTTAATTATTGAAAGTTTAATAAATAAATACACACATAATATATTCACAGTACCTACAATGTATTTAGGCTTCATTTTTGCGAGACAAAATTTTTTACATGACACATTATATAAAATATGATGTCATCATCACATATCATGTACGCACAAAATGCTTTATTGCATTATGGTAGTCACCATTATCAGTTTAAACAAATGGAGAAAAATCACTATTTATTAAGTATGCACATACAAAAAAATCATTATTTTTCCTGAAAAATATAACCCTATTTGTTTGCCTGCCTATTTTATTATTTATACCTAATGCTCGAAATATATAGACACACCTAATATAGAAATGAAAAATATAAATTCTATAAGTAGAAGCAAAGATGTTAAAGAAAGGATTTTTGAACTAATCCTATTATTGGAGGAAAAGAAAAAATTTACACACGAATCAGTCTTGCGAAGAAAGTAATCATCAAAGAAGTTATAAATTCAGAAGTAGAGAAAGAAGAAGAAAATATATAATGATTAAGAAAGTTATTCCATCAGTATTATTAGTTATATAAAAGAGATTCACCATTATCATATTTGTTTATCCATCTTCTTCACGGTATAATCGCCTTTTCAAGGCTGTCCATCGGTTAAAACATTTTGCAGCATCATGATTTTGAACGCGTTTAGCAATTTCAGCCCACGGAGGTACAGCCAAACTTTCAAGGACACTGTCTACCAATGTCCTATCTTCTTCCACTGTCCATCCGTCCGGATTTAAGTTATATAGAGATTTCCTTTCTCTATTACGAGTTACCATTTCTTCCTTTCGGGGACGACCTCGTTTTCTCTCACTTGTATTACTAGTAGCAGTACCTTTTGGAGGACGTCCGCGTTTCTTTGGATTAACAGCAGATGATGATAATTTTGCTGTAGCGGTTTTGTTATTGTTGGCGGTGTCAGAAGCAATACCGGAATTTTTTGGAGGTCGTCCTCGTTTTTTTGGCAACTGACTATTATTATTATTATTATTAGTAGTAGTAGTAGTAGTGATATTATTATTATTATTATCAAGATCATCATTATTATTAGAAGGTCCAAAAGCAGAAGCACCATCAGTCGCAGCAGCCGCAAATTGTGCAAATGGTGTAGAATCTTTAGAAGGAAGTCCACGTTTGCGTGTTGACGAGTCATCATTACTGTCGTCATTAGCATCGAACGTCGTCGTAGGTGGTTTAAGTGTAGATTGAGAATGATTATCAGATTCGTTTGTATCACCTTTTCGTGGTCGTCCACGTCCTCTTTTTGGTGGATTAATAATCGCCGTAGTGGCTATTTCTTTAACCATGGTAGTTGGTGAACTACTGCGCGACGAATTAGATGCTGAAGATGAAGATGACGGAGACGACGGAACTCCAATAGCCTTTGCATCTGAATCTGGCGATCCAATTGATGCTGATGAAGGGCTATTTTTTCTGCCATTGTTGTTGACTGGGATTGTCAAGTGGTCTATTTCTACATCTACTTCGTCGGTTGTTATTACTACTTCTTTTTTTACTACAACAGGAGCAGCAGTAGCCGTTGATATAGATGGAGATGATGTGATGATTGTTTCCATTTTACTGGAATTTTTGGCTTGTCTTTTGGATACGTGGTGAATCTATTTTATTTTAATTTTGGAAATAGAAATAATATTTTTGTGTTATTTATTTAAAAAACATTTCATATTTCTCAATTAAACAATTTTTTACGATTTATAGCTCTGTTTGCATTAAAAAAAATAAACAAAAACAAAAAAAAAATAAATAAAAAAAATCTCCACCTCACTACCGTTCTCAGCAGCAGCCTCTAAAGCTGGTGAGGTTAAAGGCGTCACTGTAGTAGCCGTTGTGGTAGCCGTAGTCCCAAAGCCAACCTCTGGAGTTTTCTCTGTCATTATTTTTTAATGATTTTGAGTAATTTAACACCTTTTTTTATTATTATTTATTCAAATAAAATTTAATAAATAAATATAAAAAAAGTAAAAAAGCGGAAAAAATTTCAGGAATATTTTTTTTAAAGACTAAAGCGTACTTTTATATGTGTGAGAAATAATATAAAATGGAAATATATGGCCAGCTAGAAAAAAACGCCAGCCCCTACCAATATAAGTTAATTGCTTCAATCCCCTTCCTCCCAAGATATTGTCACGCGAGTTAGGTGGCTGGTGTATCAACA